TGTGAGGTAGTGGATAATCATACGAGGGCTATATTGATACGAGCACTGCTTTATTCAAAATAAATCCCAAAAGGGATTTTTCTAAAGTTTGTAAACGAAGGGTCAAGAAGGTAAAAGACCAGAGAAGGGAAGAGACAGAAAAATAATAACGGACTATCTGGAAAAGAATAGTCGCAAGCTAAGGCAGGGAAGCGATGAATAAAAACAAACGGAAAAGGGAAGGGCGACTATCGGGGAGTCGATTCAGAACTGGGAGAGCGAGATCCTCTCGAAAGATCTCATTTTTATTCTGCAAACTTCTTCTTTAATCTTTCTTTGTTCCCAGACTTTGTTATTGAATCTTATCAATTAATTCATCCATTTTGAGGTGGAGTGTATTGTTACTATTTTCGTACCCTATCATATATTAATAAGTTTTTGCGGGAAGCCAGGAGAGCTGCTGCTGAAAGGGCACAATATATTGATTATATAAATCTTTCTCATTTTCCAGAATTATCGGTAGGGTTGTATACGAACCGAATCGAGTCGAATAATGAGATTTTGTATTTGTATTTGTTTAATTTTTTTGAATACGAATCTGAATTCAAATAAGAAATGAATATTAATTTCGATTTGTATTTGTATTTGTTTAACAATACGAATAATTAACGAATACAAATACGAATATCGAGTCGATTTGAGCATAAGTTAAATATTAGTCAAATATCACTTTAAAGTAATTTTTCTTATATTTTTCACGATATAAATGCATGCTACGACTTAATATGTGTTTTAAAATTTTTATTTTTAAAAGTACATTTTTCTTTAAAATTTAATAGATCGATGCATTTTTAGGTTGTGCACAATATACTAAAGTCAATCAATTTTATGATTAATAAATATAAATCTATTTCAAACTTTTTGAGATAAATACTAACACACACATATTAGAAATTAAACTTATAATGTGTGAAATAAGTTGATAATTGTATATATCGTAGTCAAACGACTCTAATTTTATTCTTTGAATCGAATACATAATTATTTGTATTCGTATTTGAAAGATATTTGAACGTACCAAAAATCTGTTTTGTATTCGTATTTATATTCTATATTTTCAAATTTAAATCATATTTTATGAATCCAAACGAATCGAATTGAAATTATTTGCTTCCTTTACAATCCTCACTCCGTATGATACTTCTTATTTATTACAAATGAGATTGAAATTTGTATACATAAATGTATATATGGGCTACACTTTGATTGTATAGCTATCTTTTAAAAGTTATTATAGTGTTATTACTATTATCATTAATATTATTATAACAACATCACTATTATTAATCGAATATATTTGATTAATATTCGAATTGAATACACTGATATTCTTATTTGTATTTGATAACAATTCGAATCAAATTTAGTATTCTTATTTGTATTTGAATTTTTCAAATTCGAATAGTCTTATACGAATTCAAATCTCGAATCGAGCAAAAATTATTTGATTCGTTTACAACCCTAATTATCGGTGCCTCATATGCTACATGATTTGAACAAATGATATTTGAAATATGCTTTTATCATGCTACTTATTCAAGTAATTAATTTCTCGAACTTGACATGTTTGGGATGCATATTGTTAATATCTCATTACTCTTGAGTACTCATTTTGTTGAGCTCTGCATATATTTTAGGCAACATATCCTTTTTTTTAGTTTTTGAGCTTTTTTCACCTTTGGCTTTGAATTTTATTGACATTGTCCAGATTATTCCTTTTTTTTCAATATTACTATTTTGTTTCAAACATGAAATACATTGTCCAGATTACTCAATAATTGATAATGTTCATCAAGAGCGCTTCATCATACTCATGGTTCATATTTGAAAATTCGTAAAACCTGCTGGAAGAGTATATATATGCTTGAGCCTTGAGTCAATTGTAATAAACCTCATCCTAACATCTCTATGTGGTTTGCTAGAGCTCACCCAAATTACTCAATTGACATTACTAGGTTGGTTATCATGAGAGTTAATTCCATTACATCTCCTTTTTAGAAAAGTTTTATAAAATTGAGTTGCACCAATGTTTAAATCGACATACAATTTTATAAGTATTTATTTTTGTCTATATTTTTAATTTATTAAATGGTTCTTAAAAATAGGTTCTTCAATTTTCTGAATCTTTATTTACTATCATTAAGAAGTTTTAGATCACATATGCAAACAGACTTATCTACAACAAATTTTAATTTACAAAATATCGACAACCCGTGCGGATGCACGGGTACTATACTAGTTCATTTAAAAAGAGCATAATCATCTGTCAAAATGTCTATGACTCACTACCCTATACATTTTGCGTACAACTAGAATTACCCTAGCTAAGTAACTAATGGGTTGTCCCAATATAGATTCTGGAAGATCTTAATGGAGTTTAGAATTACGTCAAAATTTAGGTGTCTCTGATTTGGATTTCTTTTAGATCTATGAAAGTTAAGGGTGAGATTTCGGAACCAGGAACCGTAGAAACGGTTGGAACCAACCGTTATAACCCGGTTCGGTTCTTACAAATGTGGTATTAGTTGTTAACGGTTCGGTTCCTAGTTGTTACTAACAGTTCTGTTCTTGATTCCTATAAAAAATATGTGCACGGAACCGTTAAGGGACCGTTAGTAAAAAATAAAATAAAAATGTAATTATACTAGTGATAGTAATAGAAATAATATCAACAATAACAATAGTAGTACAATCAATGGTGATGACATAAATGCCGGCCCAATATGCTAAGCTCGATTGAATGCGAGCTGAGCCCGTAAATAAGATGGACGAGACGAACAGGGACATCAGGCCCAAGGAAATACATGGTCAGCATACTCGGGATGAGAAACATGGAGTCACATTTACAAAGATATGGCGCGCTGAGCATGACGTGATTTTATCTTTACAATGAGGCTTAGACATGACATGCTGAGCATGACACATTCTTACCTCTACCATGGGATTTGCATGTGGCATGCTAAGCATCACATGGCGCACCTCTACACGCGTGGTGCACAAGCGCTTAGACCATCGCAGATGCATGATGCTACTTCCCAGAAGCTACGTGACCAACAACAAATCTCGGAGATCACGGGTCAACTCGCACAATCAGTCCTACAAATCAGAGGATGGTGGCGCGTCAGTTCAGGCATGGCGACCACGTCGCCCGAATATTTCTTGTCTCAATTTTGTATTATAAATCATGTATTATAAATGACGTGCTGTATAAAAGGGCGTACAATGGCACACTCCTCAAGTGTCTACGACCGAATGAGGCCATGACTGCCATGGAAGAGATACACGCAGGAACATGCTCAGCGCATCAAGGGGCGCACACCATGTCACGAAAGGTAATTCTACAAGAATTCTTCTGGCCAACCATTGTAAAAGAATGTGCAGACTTTGTTAAAAGGTGTGTCGTGTGCCAAGAGTTTCAGAAATCTCCGGGACGCCCAGCAACGCATTACACCCCCAACAGCACGGCCATACCATTCACTAGATGGGGAATCGATCTTATTGGAGCCTTGCCGAGGGGGACCGGGAGCGTGAGATGGGTTATTGTGGCCATAGACTACTTTACCAAATGGATCGAAGCGATACCTTTGGCGAGCATCACTGAAGGACAATGCAAAAAATTTGTCATGAAACACATCCTCTGTCGTTTCGGAGTGCCCCAACAAATCATAACCGATAATGGGAGGCAATTCGGAGCATCTGGGTTTAATGACTTTTGTGAGAGTTGGGGAATCAAACACAGCAGTGCATCGGTCGCTTACCCTCAAGCGAATGGGCGGGTGGAGATTGCAAACCGCACAATTATGGATGGTTTGAAGAAAAAGCTCGTAGCAGCCGGAGGCGAGTGGGCTGAGGAACTACCACAGATACTCTGGGCGTACAGGACCACGCTGAGGAAGGCAACCAGTGAGACACCATTTGCCCTTGCCTACGGTTTTGAGGCGAGGGCGCCAGCTGAGGTAATGCTCTGTAGCCATCGAGAGGAAGAGTATGATCCGGAAATAAATGAGGAAATCATGACAACCGAACTTCATTTCATTGAAGAAAGAAGAGAAGCGGCCTTCTGCCGCGCAGAGAACTATCGAAGGCAAGTCAAGGCATACCACGACTCTCGGGTACGCAAATGAAACTTTGACGTCGGAGACTATGTCTTGAGGAAAAGAGAAGTGAGTAAACCCTTGGAAGGCGGAAAGTTTTCAAAGAATTATGAAGGTCCTTACATCATAAAATCTGTGATCCGTCCGGGGACCTTCAAACTTCAGACACCTAAAGGGAAGGAGATCGAGAGGACCTGGAATGCTGAGCACCTAATCAAGTTCTACCAGTAATATACTTCTTTTGGTGTTTTATCTCACCACTATAATTTAAGTTCAACATCTACTCATCAATAAAGTACTATGGTGTGCACGGTCCGTTACCGTCACCACACTATGAGAACGTTTCGCACCAAAAAAAAAACCCTCTGTGGTCACTATGGGAGGATATTTTAGTATAGTATTGATAACAATAAAAGCTTGGGCGACACTCAATGTGTTACCATAAAAAAAGGAGTATGCCCTGGGCAAGTTCCTTACAATGCCTAACCCTGGGGTTGTATGGTCAGGATGTGCATATAGGAATCCCTAGGCGCGACCATGTTTCCCGAAAGACGTCGCGTGCCCTATGCAAACCTAGTCATCAAGTTCGCTCACTCAACATGGCTCTGAGGTCACTGCTGAGTGATGCGCACAACGTAGCAAAGGAGGAGGAGTCCCCGACAACTTGTGTCTTTTGTTGTCCATGGTAACCCCCTAGCTATGTGCGGTGCCATCATAGTGAACCAAAGTTCTCATATCCAACATCAGGAGAAGTTTGGGGAGGGGGAGGCACCGAGTTCTATGCTCAGCGCTTTACCATCATATAATACAACAAAAAAAATGACCGCGCACACCCCGTTTGAGCATGGCGCGGTGTGCAACGTGATCACCCGTATAGGTAACTATATTAAAAAAACGATATTAAAAGGAAATATTACATTGTCAAGATAATTGTTTGCTTGAAATTCAAAAAACGATCTAACAAATTAGGTACTAAAGAAAAAGAAAAACATGCAGATCACGTTATGGTAGTCTAACTCTAACACTCTCCAAGGCATGGAGATGGTCAAAGAGGGGATCACTCGACCTAAAGCCCCAGCATTGCTACTTCTTCGGAAGTTATGGGGTGATCAGGATCTGCACCCCTAGGGAGCTCACCCAAGGGAACGACTCTGGAAAAAGAGTCGACATTCTCAGGCTCTGGATTAGGAATCTCAAAGGGAAGCCCCCAATCGGCAATGCATGAGGCACCGTGCTTGGCCTTCAAAACAGCATAAATTTCCTGTTGTTTGGTATATTCCCCCAAATTGTAGCACAGTAAACCGTCTTTGTCAAGTCTATCGACGCCGGCGGGAGTTTTCAGCCAACGTTCAGCGATCTCTTCTAGGTGGGAATCAATGTAGTGTTCCCGCTCAGCGCGGACCTTGGTTAACTCGGCAGCGTGAGCGTCCCTCTCCTGTGCCTCCCTGACCTTGTGAGCTTCAATCACTTCGCTCATCAATCTCTTATGGGCAGCCCGCTCTTCAGAAAGCAGCTTTAATAGCTCTTGCTCGCGCACAACATGCTGACGATTCTTCCCGGAGATCTTCAACACAAGCTACAAAAAATATTATATAATATATATTATTAGTCACACATACCTTTATACAAAAAATGAACACATACACATATACCTTACTATTAAATAAATATTTACTAATCATATTTGGGCGTGGTCGCCCGGCACGTAATGTCACAGTATACCCGCTGACCACACACACATGCTTATGAATGTTATACATACAATGTTATGAAGGAAAGTGAGTGGTTACCTCTGCTGCGGCATGATGACAATCATCTTCCAACGGTCCATCAGCCACACTCTTCAGTCCTTCCTTGAGCGTGACATCACGAGCACCACTAGTACTCCAGGTGATGCGCCGCGTCTCTTTGGTAACCGGGCCATTAGTTATGGGCACAGAAGGGGACGAGGCACCTTCACCCTGCAAGGAGGGTACAACCTTTTGCTTCTTGCTCGGCGGGTCTTGGGTAGACGCATGTGACCCTTCGCCATTCATCTTCTTGAATCTCTCCGCACGGGACGTCATACCTGTAAGAATAAATAAATAATATACACATATATTAATTTGTTAATCAGGGGAGAGATCTTATTTCGAAAGGAGCATGGTGAGCGTAGACAACCTGAGTCTAAAGAAAGGGGGACGAGGACATCCAAAGGTGAGCACAAGCCCGAGGTGAGGAAATCAAGTCCGCTCAAATGGTCCTCGGTAGTATATGTAGAAATGTTAAACGGCCCGCCCGCTTAGAACTTTTCCGGCCATAACTCTTGATCGGCGGGAAGAGTGAGACACGCAAACTTCTTATAATGAGGGCTGAAAATTGTGGGGAAGGGGAGAGCATGTCCGGTAGACTCAGAGATGAATTCTTCCTTCCAATTACTGATTCTACTGTGCGAAACTTTCCACGCGTCAAGGTGGGCACATTGGGAAATAGATACCCATGACAGACTATTAGCTCGGGAGCATTGACCAACCCTAAACAGGTGCTTAAAAAGATCTAGAGACGGCTTAACCTTGATCTCCTTACACCGGGCCAAAAATGCCACCAGGTACTGGTGACCAAATGGGGTGAGCTGGCACGGAGGAATCTCAAGCTCACATAGGAACTCAGTGATGAAAGGATGCATGTGGAGACTAAATCCTAGTCTCACGGAGAGGGTATGTATCCCGAAAAAATCACCCTCAGGGGGCTCAGTAACTATGTCATCTCGGTTCGGGATAACCATGGTAACATCGGACGGGAAAAGTCCCCGATAACTTTCAAACTCAGAAAATGAAAGTCGTGATTTGCATGATTCAATGTGAGTCGCATCTAAAGGAACGTATAGCCCACGAGGGCGACATTTTTTCAGTCTCACCAAGTCAACTATTGGAGATTCTGGACTAGCTACCTCAATGTCAGAATTATCATATATCCAAGGTACATTTTCTAAAGCCGTTCCATTAACCGGTTCCGAAAGTTCACTTAAGTCTATGGAGTCCAGTACATCCATAAGATACGGAAAGCTAAAATACAAATAAATAGAAATGAGCAAAACATAAAATAAAATACTTTCTCCGTTCTTAAATAAATGCAACGGTCAACATTTCACACTTACCGAGACACAACTTTGACCATTAATATATATAAATTCATATTAGTAAAAAAGTTTTAAAAAAAAATTAGATATTGAAAATTTATAATGAGACAAATTTAACAATATTTTTTTCATAAAAATATATTCATACATTAATAAAACGTAGTCAGAGTAGACCATGTGCATAGTGTAAAATTTCATATGTTGCATTTATTTAAGAACAGAGGTAGTACATTTCAGTAGCTAATTACCGAAAAAAAAGGAATCAAAAGCTAATTACAAAAAAAAATGAAAAATCATTAATTAATTACAAAATAAAATTCAATAACTAGTTATCTACAAAGAAAAGGGAAATCATCTTCTAAAAAGGCAATTCGACAGTAATGGCTAATTACGTACTACATTCTAACATTCCAAAAAAAAGAACAAGAATACTTCATAAAAGAAACAAAAAATAGAATGACTAAACAAAAATTAAGAATAGAGTTGAAAATTAAAAAAGAAGTCAAAATTGAAAAGAAGTCAAAATAAGAGGATAAGGTGGAAAGTATTTACCTTTCTCTGGAGGAATGGACGGCTCAGGAGAAGCTCCACACGCAACAGCAACAAAATACGAGGACAGAGCGGTGAAGACCGACCAGATAGGCGGCGGTGCGAACCAGGAAAGAAGGGAGACGGCAGCGGTCGGCAGTGACGGCTGATGCGCTGTTGCGCCAAACTCTCGACCTCGTCAGCCGCTTGCAGTACGAAGGAGGAGCTGCCACTTTCTCCGGCCGCGTTCCGGGGTCTATGCGAGAAGACAACGACGCCAAAGGTTGTATCCCATGACGGGAAGTAACGTAAAGGCGCAGTGGGTGTGCTGTTCCGGGCCTCCGGCGGTTCAATAGGCCGGCGAATCTGTTCCTCCGGAGATGGGACGAACTTCTTCAGAGCAGCGGCATCGACGTTCAGTTTTACGGGCAGCGGCAGTCAGTGGCGGTCAGAGTTTCTGGGGCGGCGGCGAGGCACTCCGGCACGACAGCAGCATGTCCTTCGCGGTGTGTCTACTAGGTTGGACTGTTGGAGTTCTTAGAACATGAACAATATTCGGTTAATAGTATAAAATTACATGTTATGATGAATTCTGACTTGGTATTTTGGTCCTTCAAAAATGAAAAACAATTGAGTCAACCATGAATTACATGTCTCTCTAAATTAATGATTGGATAAAAATGACTAGGTAAATAATACTCCACATAATGACATGGTAAGCCTTGGCAAAATGACCCTGGGATGAGAAGATGGAGTAACGTACATGCTCACCATGTACGAATTAAAGGTTATTCGTTCTCTACTTTGAAGTACATGCTCAGCATGCCTTGAGATAACATGGTCAGCATGTAAGGTGTAATTATTGGTGTAACACATTATGAGTGACATGCTCACCATGAGATTATTTTTCGGGTAACACGGTCAGCATGGAAAAATGAAGATCGTTGGTGTACTACGTACCTGAGTATCATGCTCAGCATGGACATTCATTTATTATTTGGTGTAACACCTTATGGTTGACATGCTCAGCATACCTCTGGAGTGACATGGTCAGCGTGTACGGTTTATTTATTACTCGATATAACACCTTATGAGAGACATGCTTGACGAGTCTCAGGGACGATGTGCTCAACAGGCCTTGGGGGTGACATGGTCAGCGTGTCCGGTTTATTTATTACTTGATGTAACACATTATGAGTGACATGCTCAGCAGGCCGTGGGGGTGCCATGGCCAGCATGTATTACTTATTTATTACTTGGTGTAAAACATTATGAGTGACATGCTCAGCAGGCCTTGGGGGTGTCGTGGTCAACATGTACAACTTATTTATTTCTTGGTGTAACACCCTAGGGGTGACATGCTCAACACAGACAGAAGTGAGGATCATTGGCATACTACTCTAAGCAACGCGCTCGGGATGAACGTGCTTAACACAGATGAAATGGTGGTCTTATGTGGCATAATATGATTTTATTTGAGTAGTTGATGTATACTTCCTCTCACCGATTTATTACTCGGCTCGGGGAGTGGGGGCTTGTGATGACATAAATGTCGGCCCAATATGTTAAGCTCGATTGAATGCGGGCTGAGCCCGTAAATGAGATGGACGAGACGAATAGGGACATCAGGCCCAAGGAAATACATGGTCAGCATACTCGGGATGAGAAACATGGAGTCACATTTACAAAGATATGGCGCGCTGAGCATGACGTGATTTTATCTTTACAATGAGGCTTAGACATGACATGCTGAGCATGACACATTCTTACCTCTACCATGGGATTTGCATGTGGCATGCTAAGCATCACATGGCGCACCTCTACACGCGTGGTGCACAAGCGCTTAGACCATCGCACATGCATGATGCTACTTCCGAGAAGCTACGTGACCAACAACAAATCTCGGAGATCACGGGTCAACTCGCAATCATGCCAGTCCTACAAATCAGAGGATGGTGGCGCGTCAGTTCAGGCATGGTGACCACGTCGCTCGAATATTTCTTGTCTCAATTTTGTATTATAAATTCATGTAACTCTTGGAAGAACGATGAAGCTGAATACATTGAATACACTACATACAATTATCTCTCCAAGTATTATTCTGAGTACTTTAATTATTTTCGGCTATCTCTTATTAATTACTTTAAATAAACTTTTAGTACTTGTGTTTTGATTTTTTTACATATATATTTATGTGGAAGAAATCAGATAATGTGCTAATTCACTAGATAAGAAAAAAATATTCGAGAAACCGATAAAAGCAAGAACCGAACCGTTTAGTAATGGTTCGGTTCCATAACGGTTCTTGATTTTTTACATAAGAACCGAACCGATTTCATTAGTTAAAATTTTTATAACGGTTCCACCAATTTTGAGTAAGAACTAAACCGGTCCCAGGACAATGAAAATAATGATGCTCTCAAACATTTCGTGAATTTCTATTACGAATTATTACTAATTTGGATGGATTTTAATTGATTTTGTTGAATTTCTACATACAAAACATTGCACCACAAAACTTGCAGGCACCTCTTGGTTTTCAAAATTCATAATCTTTTAAAATCAGTCAAAGTCATACTTGAGGAGAGTTGATAGTAAAAAAACTAGGAAGAAAAGAAACTTCATGGGAGCTTGGGAGGAGAACAAGCGAGCGTCTGACCAAGTCAGAATTTGTATGTTTAAGTAGAACAAAAAACTCTTAGCCTTTTCAAAAAAATATTGTCATTGCTATAGCATCTTTAATGCAACAGTGTGATGTGAGAAAAATAGACAAATAAAAACAAATCCATGACATTTTTCTGTCTTTTCTTTCACAGTTTTATCTACAATGTCCACTCTAGACCATCATTTTGGTATTGTAAAGAAAAACTTATCAACATGTGTGTGAGATCTTTTGCTTAGTACTACGTAATATGTAAGTGTTTATCTCTTTCATACTACATGTACGTCATGTACATTTTGAGATTGAAGATGCTCTCAAGTAGGTATACTTACAAGAAGATCAGCACATTACGAAGATTTTAAAAAGGGTTTCATAAATTTTAGTCACTAACTACTCCTTAAGAATTACTCCGTACATAATTTTTATATATAAAATAGTCTAATAGTCAATCATTATGATCAAGAAGTACTGCGTAACATATTTTAGGAACAAAGGTATATTTCCCACATTCCAACTTCAATTAATTACACTTTATTGGGTCATTATCGGCTGTAAGTTGCTAGGACTGAAGTCACCGGAGGCTAGATTGAGGCATAAACGGTCTATTAGTCACTTTTTTGAATTTTTTTGAATATGGTCCTATTTTTGTCCTTATGTTTTCTTTTAGCATTATTTTTGGCAATATCCCTTTTCACTTGACCCGACCTAGAGGCAAGTCACTTAGAATTCGGCCTTGTTCTTGAAACCATTGTTGTAATCTACCCCGCAAGAGGAATAAGAATCTAATAGTTATATAGAGAGAATTAGGTTCAAGTGAGAAAATGATCTTAGGAGAGAAATGAGAATGGTTCTGGAACGTTAGATCGTATTCTGTGAAATTGAATGTGCATTAAGTGAAACTGAAATGTACATTAGATGAAATCAAAATGTGCAGCACAAAAGGTAGACACATTGGTATTATGTGAAGCTCAATTGTGCATCAAGGGAAACTGAAATGTGCAAAATAAAAACTACGATGTAGTGGAATTTTTGAGCCAGTTATTCTGCACATTTCAATTTCACGTAATGCACATTTGAGTTTTACTTTTCATTCTGCACATTTTAATTTCACTTAATGCACGTTTCAGTTTTACCAAATGCACAATTTAATTTCACATAATACAATCAAACTGTCCAGATTCATTCTCATTTCTCTCCTAAGAGTCCTTTCTCAAAGGAACCACTCCCTAAGGAGAGAAATGAGAACTAAATCCAACCAACCATTCATTTGATAGTGCCGCTTAAAAATGAATCTTGGAATGCAAGATTCGGATGCTATCGGATGTGTCGTTAGAGAAAAAATAGGAAAGAGTGGATTGTTTAATAACTGAAGATTTTTTTATGAATTATGAACTTTTGTTAGTGTTAATACCGCAGTTTGAGAATGCATTCACACAATTGCTTATATATACATTTTTAAAAATAGTCCTCTTATCTGCAGTACTTTTGAGGTAGATTTGGGAAAACGCTTCAAGATGGGTTTAATTTCAACTTTTACTATCTTACACTTGCAAGGATGAAGTTGAATCCCTGATAAACATATGTGTTGGTGATGTTTTAACTTCTCATACCGTGTTTTAATTTGATGGTAACTCTACACTGAATTTTGGATGTGTTAACAACTTCTTTTAGTCAGCTAGCTATTTTTTCACACAATTACACATAAACAATATAGTAAAGAAGGTATATTGTTATTATCTAAGGTAACTTCTGCAAAATACTTATGATTCATTACATCAGCGCCTCTCAAGTTGCTCATGTTATATGTGCCAATGTGCCTTGGATGCCACACAATTACTAGAGAAGTGGTCACACTATATGCTAGAGTTCTTTAATCTTTACTGACAACACTAGTAAGCGGTGATGTACATTTGTGATATGTACATTGACTAGTTCTTTAAAATCAATTCTAAATATTCATTCACTACTTAAAAATCATGATACTTGGATTGGGCACATAGCCCCACGCATGGCGTGTGCCTTGCTAGTGTATTATATACGACAAGCTTCACTTTCTTTTTTGGCGAACTACTATTGATTATGAGACCGGCTCATATGCATTAGATATCGGTGATTGTGTGTTAGATACAGGTTCTTGTGTATCCCGTAGCTGGAGATGTTTGTTGTTCTTTATTGTATACATCTTATACATATTTTTTTTAAAAGAATATATATGACATTCTGGTATCATATGAAAGAGCATAAAAAGTTATTTAATTTGGTATATTTTTTTAAAAATCAGATTATTATTTAAGAAGTTAAATCAATTTATAAATTAAAGCAATTTTATATGATTTAAGATTTATTATTACCTAGTTTTTAGGGAAATGAAACCTTCAACCGTATGATCTTTTTTAAAAAAAAAAATCTATCGTGTCCATCTAACCTACGTTTGATTAGGAGAGAGAGAACATGATTTTTTTTTAAGTGTTTGCACCCCCATTGTACATCTGTGCATCTACTCGTCCTTTGACCATTAATTTACGAAGATATGTGGTTAAAATTTGTTCTCATTCTCACAATAAAGACTTAAAGAGTGTTCTCATTGGAATCACTCCCCGTAAACAAATTTGAGAAATAAGTTTAATTTTATTTTTTGTTCATTTATTTTACCTTTTCGTATTATATGTGCAGATCTAATTCACCGGCTTGGATGAGCGATATTGGTTAATTCATATAGGTCAAGTCAAAAATCAGGTCCATAACCGACCTGAAATCAGACCTGGACCGCCAATTTTAACCAGATCGGAAACTTAACGCCTTTAACCAGCTCCAACTGTGGTTCCAATTATGAGGGGATCAGAGTTGGCCCAGAATGAAGTTCACCAAACAAGCTTACTTAACAAAATCAATACTCCACGTTTATAAGTAACTGCATTCGTGCAAAGTATAACCTTAATCCAATAACACTCATTCTTGGCATTATTGTCAATGTTGAATATTAGCATCAAGGGAATGAGATTCTTACACTGTAAACAGAAGCATTACAGGTTCAACCTTTGTAACACAAAATTGAGCAAGGTGAAATAACTACAAAGAAACTGCCTCAAATGTTACACAACATAATTTATAGGTAGAGTCGAGTAGAACAAGGACACCAAATTGGTTTATTCATACAATTTATGGAGCTCATCTTTAAAGCGGGCCTTGATGGGTTCCCGCTTTATTTTAAAGGCAGCTGTAACCAATCCAGATTCTGGAGTCCAAGGCTCTGGTATTAGCTTAATCTTAGCTGGAATCTCAAACTTGTCCAACCTTGCTTCTTTCGCTGCCTGTAAAGTGTAAATGTCATGTTAAGGAATGAAACTTTTCTTTGTTTTATTTGGTTTGAGGGTGTGTTGATGTGTTCTGTAGCTATAACTCTATAAGCTATTGGTGTGACTTGTGAGAGTTCAGCATTTACCTTTGTTGGGCTTATGGGCTACATTACTACATAGCTTCCCCGAGCTCATTCTTATATTGAGCTCCAATGGTCAAGCTATTATGTAAGACACCAAATACCAATGTTATAAACTACTCCCTATTCCCTAAGCCAAACCATTGGAGTTGCTCTAGAAGCATCAATCTGCTGCTTCCTTAAATAAGCATTAAAAGAGTTTTTCCTTTGTTATATGAGCACTTTTTGCCATATTCCTGTCAAACCCTTTGTATTTGGTAACACAGCTAAAGAGTACTTTTGACCAAAATATCCAAAACATAAATATTTGTCTCTAAAAAACAATTTTGAAACGCCTAAATAATGGGTGCAGACCTGTGATAGTGATTGATGAACCCCAGTGATGGCTTCTGCTTTGTCACACAACTCATGAAAGTTCATGTACTCTATCCCGTTTTCATGCGCCCATTTCTCAAGGATCTCATGTGAAGGAACAACTAGAGCTACACAATAACTGTGAAAGGGGTCTGCATACACCATTATGTTGTCCACATACTTGCTTGTCACGAGTGCTGCCTCTACCTGTGGATTAATCACCACATGATTTCTGATTAGTGAGTGCCTCATCTACAGAAAAACTATAAGAACAGAAATAAAAGAAGGGGAGGAGAGGAAGCCCGGGAGCAAATTGAAAAGCAGAACAATAAAGGGGAACGAAAAGGATCAGTAAGCAAAAGAAAAACAAGAGCATTGTGCAATAAATTTAGATGCAATCTCATACTCCATTTAGCCCTCAATTATGTAACATTGTAATTTGGATCCAATTTAGTGTTCAACTTACTATAATACCCTTCTTAATTAGAGAGGACGCGGTCCAACTCACTGGTTGCCGACTCACTCTCTCATAAAGGAGGTCCTGGGTTTGAAACTTCATAGATGCAGTTTCAGCCTTATTTACCCCGGGTCCCCCATCCCCCTCCCCTCAATCCCCGGGGTAAAAGAAAAAAAACTTCTTAATTAGAATGGAATTAGGGCGAATATGCATGAAGACTAAATCGAGTCAAAATCCCATAATCCATGACGAAATGGAGTAACTGTGAATACTAAAGTACCCAAGTCGGGCAAAACTATAGACATAAAACGGGGTATCAAATAAGACAAACAAACGGGGGGTGAAATATCCATACAAAGTTACAAACCTTTCCAAGGGAGATGTACTCCCCATGTTGAAGTTTCACAATATCTTTTTTTCTGTCAATAATTTCAAGGCATCCATCAGGATGAAACATTCCAATGTCGCCAGTATAAAACCATCGCATGCCCCTCTCATCAACCTGTGCATGAGTTATTGGTCTTAAACCCCACTCATTAAGGCATTTGTTTTCAAGTACACTAGAGCAGAATTTGTGTTACTTACTTTGTACACCTCTTTGCTTTTCTCATCATTATTGAAGTAACCAGCAGTAACACTGAATCCACCAATAACAACTTCTCCTCTAGGCATTGGCTTGTCACTTATTCTGTAACCACCTTCTTCCCAAGAAATCAGCTGCAATGTTGAACTCAAGAAACTTGATACAAAAGCAGTTTACAACAAACAAAGACATCCAATTCTCTAGGAGTTAGTATTTCACCCACAAGGGTAACTTCCCATTTAGTAGTTAGCAGAGTAATTTCTATTGGTTGCATGGCATTAAAACAAAATTATGAATGCAGTATGCAGTCTTAGATGTAGCCTATACATTCCATTCTAAAAGGCAACATTTGGGCTGTATAATTGAGAAGCTAGATTGTTTCCTAGTCATAGAGAAGTCATAATCTAAAATCTTATAAACACCAATGAAGGTAAGGATATTTTAGGTATAAAAAATGTGTTGGTGTAAAAGCTTAGCATTATAGAATTGTACATCATGTTTAAAATATTGTACTCGTCATTAGTATTGTATTGGCCTTCCGTTAAACTTGAAGGAACAATTCATTTGCCGTTCACTTCCGTTACTCTTTGGTGCATGCACTACATCTACAAGGATGAACCCCTCGATTTCAAACTACTAGCTCCGTATTTATTTACTTCGTATTTTATATGGGCTAAGGCTAACTTTGTGGTGTGGAAAATGTGAGGCTTAATTATGAAAATAGTTATAGGTGATATATTAAGTCTCTTTGATTCGTTTCAGAATATATTATGCTACCTCCGTCCCAAATTGATTTGCAAATTTGACTTTTCTTGGCAAATAGTTTCATTTTATTCACTTAATTAGGATGTCAATTTTTAATTATATCATAATTTGGAGTTTACAACTTTGAAGAGATTTTAATGTAATTTCTGAATATATAAATTTTAACTATTAAAATTTGAATTAATTATCGATAAATAACATTGACTTTTACTAATGGTTGACAAAAAATTGTTGACTTTGCAAAAAAATTTGGGACGGGGGAGTAGTTTTTGGAAAAATTAATTATCCAAAACTTTAATTATTCAATATCATTATTAAGTCCCATGTTTCATTTAAAGGGAAAATATTTTTGAATGGAATCTCTCCGAATATTACGGACTATGTAATATAAAATTATTATATGTGTTTCCGTAGAACTTAAACCACCTTTTTTTTGTGTTTACGAAGCCAATTTTATCTCACGCCCTTATTAAGCATTTTATTTGAAAAAAACTGTAGTCAATATTCTGCTTTTTGGCTGGTTTTAATTAATTTTGTGTTTTGGCTGGTTTTAATTAATTCTGTTGAAACGTGTTATTGTTAAAAAAACATTTTTATGTTATTTTCCAAACATGTTTTTTCAATAAAAACATGTTATTGTTGATCCTTTTTTTTACTCCAGGGGGGTCTGGGGGGCTTGGGGAAGCCTGGAGTAATCAGGGCTGAAACTCACTCCATTGAGTTTCTAACTCTTATTGCCTAGCGGGTTTCGAACTCGAGACCTCTCACTTTGTATATGAAAAAATTATTACTTAAGTAACTACACGTCGTTTCTTGTTCATGGTGATTAATTATTATTCACTCAATTAACTAGCTTTTATGGCAAAAGGTACATGTGATAAGATACACTACCTCATCTGATTATTGCTTCAAAACTCAGAGCCTGCTTGATGACATTCTATTGAAATTAACTGAATCGACTGATTCTGTTGAAATTTATGAAGTTCTTGCAGAAGTGGTTGAATTTGTTGATTCTGCTAATTTATGAAAAAATTATATTTAAAATATTTTTTAAAAAAAATGTATATGAAAAATAGCTAAAATATATGACCTATGATAACTTCAGCCAATTTAGCCAGCAAAGTAACATTAACCTAACGTTTTCTTATTATTACACAATTTGTGAAAAGTTATGTGTAAGCTTAAAAAGTGTTACACAATTGGTGAAAAGTCACATGTAACGTGTATCATTGAAAAGTTGGCTGATAAGCTTGATAAGTCGAAAAACATGATCACCAGATGCGCTTTTAGTATTTTAAGAGCAGTGTACTAAGATTTCATGTACTATAAAATTAGAACAAACAAATTTAAGCGCAAATATCATTTTCTTTTGCAACTATAATAGGCGAATGATCGGAGAAGCATGGTGCTATAATTATATACTCTCCATATATATTTCTAAGAAGGAGCGCGGGGGAGGGCTCATGGTGTACTGATATGGTAAAAATAGGAAAATAATATGCAAAGAATGATATTTTATACTTGGACATTGAACATCAATATAATATTATCGGGGCTTGGGGATTTTTTCTACTCCCATGCAAATTAGTGTTCGCGTGCCATTCAAATTTAGAAGAGAATTGAAGATTCTAATTGAAAAAGAATATGGGTGACTATCAAAAGCTTCATCAACTAGCCCGATTAGCAACCTCAGAATATGGTGCATCTTCCAAGTTCCAAATAACAATATGGTACAACATTGACTTCAACACAAAGGATGGAAATTATTCAACTAAAAATTCATTCAACTTAAAACTTATTATTTCTTCCCATAATGTAAAAGTTCCAGACCCCTTTCCCATTTTATTTGTTATAAACGAAATGCATCAACATGTCTAATTTGAGATGAAGAAAAAAAACTGGGCATTATTCAGTCGCGCAACGCGCGTTATAAAAACTAGTACCTTTATATAGGCACAAGGAAGTGGTGGACCAACACGACCAACCGAAGTGTCATCTGACTCGGAGAAGGCAGCACCAGCAAAGGTTTCTGTCAAACCATAAGCTTGGCCAATGGGAGCTCTGTGAAAACAAATTACTACAATCAATTCCAACAATAAGATATAAGGTCTAGGGACCTGATGAAAATCATGATGGTACGTCTTCTGGTTGTTACATTCACATGAATAGAAAATAATCAGAGGTCTGATTTGTATTACTCTATCTCTATTTCTTTTAAACAAAAGAATACATCAAGAAAACACAAAAAGGAAAGATACCCCATGCAGATGTTGATGAATCTTTGTGAATCTCCAGACAACGGAGCTCCACCACAAAGCATAAAACGGATTTCTCCCCCTAGAAATGATCGAATCTTTTTGAAAATTACTAGGTCCCAAAGTAGAGCTTCTACCCCCCATGCACCAAGCCAGCTTCCTTCTATAGATTTAAGTCGGCGCTTAAAGGCAATTTTGAAAAGGTTTTTGGCAAAACCTCCCTTTTCCTCAACCTAATCCAGGGGGGAAGAAAGATAATCCATATATGAATTAAATACAAGTTGTTAAAGCCAATACAAAGGTTAAAAAGCAACTGCACATAAGCAAATTAATTGTAGCTGCTGCTAAAACCTTTTTAATCACACCATCTTTAACACGATCAAGAATAGCAGGAACGGCTGCCATTAGAGTAGGCTTTAATACTGAAGCATCTCCCTTTGTTCCCTTCTTGATTTTACTGGATATGTCAGTTAATGTCAATGCAGAACTATAACCAATTGAAGCACCAGCAGTCATCATTACAATCTGCATGGATAATGGAAGCATGGAAGAATTTATAACCAATTCACCACAGGAAGAAATCAGAGATCAAGAAAAGATAATTTTCTGTAGGGTGTTACTTCAGCAGCCAATTCAAAAACATGAGCTAGAGGCAAGAATGCCACGTAAACATCCTTGGTTCCAATGTTTGGGACAACAGTCATAACTGCAGCGGCTGTAGCTACAATGTTGCTGTGAGTTATCATAACACCCTGTTTTACAGAAAAACATCACTTGGTTAACCATATAAAGCATATATTTCGCTGAAGAGATGGAAATAGTTTTAAATTACTTAATAGTTAATAAAAGATAACATGCAATGACACAAAACAGCATATATATGAACATGGAAAAAATAACGAAGCATTGTGCATTTGTGCTTACTGCTAACTAGCACCTAATGTCATGCCTGACTTTTCAAAGTGTATTACAACACAAAACAAGTCTTATGTCTTAACTCTTGGGATCATAAGGGTTACAGATTACAACTTGTAGGCTCATAAGGGTCCAAAACATGCAGTTTAGAACATGCGCTTCACCTCATTAAGAAGGAAAGCCAAGTCTATATAACAGCTTATAATTAACAACTTTTGTGTGATAAAGAATAAGAACAGCAATATCTCTGTGCAATTTAAATAGGAGAAATTGAGAAACTGCCTCGGACCTTTGGTAATCCAGTACTTCCACTTGTGTACATGATGACAGCAATATCAGTCTTGATAGGCAATCTAGGACTGGCAGGATAATTCTTACCAAGTTTTTCAACTTCAGAGAAAGAAGACACTTTCCAGTTGCCAGTAGGCTTAGAAACGTTGGGATCACTTGCAGTTTCGACTCCTTCAAAATAAATGACATTCTTGATGGTTTTTAAGTCAGAACTAATTGAAGCTAACTTTTTCAGTTGCTTGGGATCACAAATCAGTGTTGAGGCTTGAGTCTGTCAAAAGTAAAGGGCACCAAATGATCAAACAAATCATATGAACTCAAGGAGGTTAAGAAATATTTGCGTTTTGAGAGAGAAAACATCCAACCTCATTTAAAGAATGAACAAGAGCATCATCTCCTAGAGAAGCATAAATGGTAACGACAGTGATATTTTGCCTGAAGCATCCCTGCAGATGAAGCAGGAAAACATAATCATTTTGCAAGACAGTAAAGACGACAATACTGTACCGATTGCAGTTATCCATATGCTACCTGAAAGGCAATGAACCACTCAGAACGAGTTTCAGAGAAAATAGCAATACGTGTATCCACATCATGACCCAATTTAACAAGACCAGATGCAAAGTTGGAAGCACGATCAAATATTTGACCATAACTTTCCCACTGGTACTCTGCCAAGTGGAGCTTCTCAAACTTTCTTCCATCACTTGCTGTTACAAAGTCCCTACCAAGCACTTTTCTATTTCCAAGGAAAAGTTCGCGTGAATGCTTTTTGCTGGACTGCTCGAATAGAGCAGCCACAGTAGTGGCCCCTTCCCAAGGGACATCTACCAATCTTGTATATTTAGCATTACGTATTGCCAAACCTTCCTCACCACCAACTTCAACCGGAACTCCTCTTTTCTTTGGCTTCTTCTTCTCTAAAAGTGCCATGGAAAGCAAGACCGGTATAATAATTGCAGCAAGAACTGCAAATACTGAAACATTAATTCCACCTGTCTCCATCTTAGTTGTATTTGGAACACCGCTTAATGATCCTTTTGCAATCTAAATGTTCTTCTTTTACTGGATGATCACCTTCCCGGAAAGCATAGCTAAGATAACCATACAGAGCGACTAAATCAGAATTCAAGTGTTACAGTAAAAGAAAAATAATAGAAAGTCAATGCAGCATTCTTGAAACCAAAGAAGGGAAAAAATAAGAAGATATAGATTGCTTGATTACTAAGAAAAGTTTAAATCGCATAATGTACAACCCTGCAGAGTTTATAGCGTATCAAGTAGTTACATGATTAAATCACAATAAACGGAATCTATCATCAATTTGCCCATATCCATCCGAAACGGCTGAATACCGAGAGAGCATGTGATCGTAAGATTACCAAATAAAAAAAAAAGTTCTATTTGCGGACACGAAATCAAGGGTCGGTCGGCAGAAATAATATTACGGTAATATAACAAATTCAAAGGCATAAAAAATATTCGCGCTATGATACACACACGACGTAGAATAAACGATCGAGATCACACTGGCCATAGCCAGATGGCCCAGATATGGTGAGAGTGATGGCGGAGCTCGAAAATTAGTTAGAGAGAATTGACCTTTGACGGTGAGCTAACGGTCTAGAGCTAGACCTGTCCTTGCAATGGTGAAGTTGATGATGAAAACTGAAAAGTTTACAGAAGAGAGGATATATGCTCTTCTTTCCTGCAACGCGTACGCAATTACATGAAATTAGATGAAACTTTTTTTTTTATCAAAGCGGCTTACGACATTAATATCAAATTATTAGAAGACTAGGTAAAACGATAATATAACTTAAGAAAACCGTCGTGAACCAGATTCAGAGTTAGTTACCTCGGTAAAGTAACTCGTTGATTCATTGATGGCACAACTGAACCAGTGATGGTAATCGCAGTTAAATCCTCACCCACATACAAATCCAAAACCACAGTCTTACAATCGAAAGAGATAGAATAACAAACAAACACAGACAAATTCAGACCATTAAAATAAATAAAAGCAAAAAAATAAATTTCTTCACTCAGCCTTCCAAGAATCACCGGCGGCGGTTCAGGAGGGGGTCGGATCACCTTCCCTTCATCTTCTTCCTTCATCGCTTTGATCTGCCCTTGAGTCGCCTCCAGCCGAATTTCCCTATCCACGAACGAATTGCCGAAAGACGGCACCGCTCCTCGCCAAAAGACGATAGCGGACAAATAAAACTCGAGCGGTGAAACCCTAGAGACAGAACGTGAATCCATAAACCCGGAATAAAATTAATGCAGAAACAAGGATTGCTATCTCCTCTCCGCCGCAATCGATCGATCTATTAGAGATCGACTCTGACCTCCATGGCGCCGTTAGGGTTTAGTTTTTTTTTATTTTTGAATTAATGAAAATGGCAGCACCGCCCTACAACTTAAATAAACAGATTTTTGTGTTACATGCACTTTTTTCAAAAAGAAAATTACACCTTCTAAATTATATCATCCATATTCTCAAAATAATTATATCCATAACTTCACAATAATCTTGAAATAATTTGGATTCATATTTTAATGTCACGTTATTTTCTCAAATAATCTTATCAAATAATCATGATCTCATAAATAATCTGCCACGTCATTGACTTAATCCTCCAACAATTTTTGATGGATGGAGATGCCTTTAGCAAACTTGAATCCACTTGTGATGTTTTACTTGGACTGTAATTTGCTGGTCTGGTCTGATTTGGTCTGGTCTGAACTAGTCTGGTCTGGTTTCTTTGTATTTTTATAACTATCTAAGTCTGGTCTGGTCTGATTTGGTCTGGTCTGATCTGGTCTGGTCTGGTCTAGGACAGATTACAGCCCAAGTAAAAACATCCTTAATCGAGCAATATGATTTGTGGATCCTAAATTGAACACAATTGAGCTAAAGATGATTGATTCAGACTTTTCATCATTCACCATAATCTGTCAAGTACTACCAACCTCTAGAGCAAAAATCATCGCATAAATATTTAGTTAGAAAAACTAAACATAACAACTCCAATTAAAAGGTCCCCATAATCAAGAGGGGCCTGAACCAGTACATTGAAAAATAGAGATTCTTCACAGACCATGGTGGGTCTGTTTCACAGAACCGGCCACATCCAGTTTTTTTTGCCTAATCCGCACCAACGGATCGCCGACGCCCTCAATTCTTCCTTTGTCATCAAGGATCCCCATCCATAGATCAACAGAGCTTCCGCCGCTGCCCTCCGCCAATATTGCTACTTAGTCGAATACCATGCTTGATTGTCCAACCTATTCACTATGCAGTAGCTTTTCAAGCATTGTGATTTATAAGATATAGCAGATGGGCATTGCTTCTCTTCTTGATGCAGCTGATCTTGTTTGAACTCCACTTGTGATTTGTGTAATCACTTGATTTGGTGGATGATCTCTTAACCAAGTTAAGTCAGGTTCAGGCAATGATTGTCTGAGTCTTTCTTGATGATCATCTTCTGATTCATCGTCTTCATCCTCGTCTTGCAGAAGAGGATTAATGATAGGTGTTGACCAAACTGGATTATTATTCACCTCTTCTCGTGACTCAGTTAGCTTGTCTTTAATGTTGGTTTCCTTCAGGGTTTCTGTTATTTCTTCATATGAGTGATCATCAAATTTGACATGAATTGATTCTTCCACATGAAGAGTTCTTTTGTTTAGTATTCTATAGGCATTGTTTGTGTTTGAGTAGCCTATGAATACTCATTCATCAGCTTTCTCTTGAAATACTTTGAGATCTTTTCCATTGTTGAGTATATAGCACGTGCATCCAAATATGTGAAAGTAGTTGATGTTGGGTTTTCTTCCTTTCCAGAGCTCATAAGGGGTCTTCTGATGAGTCTTGTGTATCATGCTCCTGTTCTGGGTGTAGCAAGCAGTGTCGATTGCTTCAGCTCAATATCTCATTGAAAGACCTGATTCAGCAACCATAGTCCTTACAGCTTCCTTAGTCATGTTTCTTCTTTCTACCACACCATTTGTTGAGGTGTTTTGGCTGCAGAGAGTTGGTGTAGTGTTCCATTTTGATCACATAAGTCCTTTATGATCTGGTTTACAAATTTTGTTCCCCTGTCTGATCTGATTACTTTGACTTTCAAGTTTTGCTCATTTTGTATCAGCTTTAGAAGAGATGGTAGCTTGTGTAGAGTTTCATTCTTCTTTTTCAAGAAGACTGTCCATGTATATCCTGAGTAGTCATCAACCATGACTATGGTGTATCTCTTTCCACCAACTCTTGGAGTTTCAACTGGTCCGAATAAATCCATGTGAACAAGATTTAAAGGACTTGTGGAGAGGTCTCCAGCAATGGGTTTGAAGGAGTTCTTGACTTGTTTTCCTTTTTGGCATGCACTGCAGAGGTTCTCCTTCTTGTACACAATGTCTGGCAGTCCATCAACAATGTGTTTTCTTGCTAGCTTGTTGATTGTTTTGAAATTCAGGTGGCTTAGCTTCTTGTGCACTCACAACTTAGCTTTGAATCTCCTTTGACTATCAGACAAACTCCTTTCTTTGCTATTTTCCAATCAACAACATATGTGTTTCTTTTCAATTTTGTTGTTACAACCACTTCTTTAGTTGTCTCATGCTTAACAGAACAAATGTCCTTTGAAAATTCAACTGTGTAGCCTTTGTCACAGAACCGGCTAGCACTGAGTAGGTTGAACTTCATTCCCTTCACATATGAGACATCATCAATGGTTATCTGGTTCTTGACAAACTTCCCTTTTCCTTTTGTTTGACCTTCTTTGTTTTGTCCACACCAAAGGTGACTTTAGGTCTGTTGAATTTCTGGAACTCTGTTAGGCAACTCATGTCATCTGTCATGTGTCTGGAGCATCCACTATCAATAAATCATTCTTTCTCAGGGATGGTTCCAGCACACAGTTCCTACAAGATCAAAAGGAAGATTTAGGTACTCAACCAATGTTGGGTCCGATCCTAGGGGGTCATACAATCGGGGGTCATATTTTCCGTTCTGGTGATCATGTCTAGTAAAGTTATCATGAGATTGTCTGTTTAGGTTTTGACTTTATTTTTTATTTTTATGAAAACCTTTTCTGATGTTCGGGTTTATGCCTTGTTCATTATTTTTCAAAGCTTGTTTTGGTTGAACCCTTACTTTCAAGTTTTCTAGACTGACTTTCTCATGATAGACTTTTGTACCAGATACACTAGCATGGCAATTGGGGCTAGTTATCCATGGCTCTATGACTTTATCTGCCTTAGCAACTTGGGTGTTAGGCTTCAAAGAAGACTCACCAGATTCTGTTAAAACGTAACCCAGACCAGAACCGATAGAGATACCTTGGAGAGTGACTATCTTTTCCACAGTAGCTTGCGCTTTCTGGGCAGTGCCATAGTCTATCTCGTGGCACTCAATTTCCCTTATTCTTTTAAGAAGAGAAACATTTTCAGCTTCAAGCTTATCTCTTTCCTCAATTAAGAGATTGAGTTTGACCTCAGTCTCTTTTCTTAGGTCTGAGATCTCAACTCTTAGCTTACATTCATCTTTAACTAAAGAATGAGTGGTTTGTATGTTTCTAAACTCTTCCCAAAATGCTGACATTGATTCAACATTAAAAGTTGTGCCTACCGAAGAAGAACTAGATGTAGAAGAGGAAGATACCTCATCATCATATTGAGCCATTAGTCAAAGGTCTTCGGTTTCTGTATCAAGGCAACAAAAGGCTTCATCGGATCCGGAGTTAGAGATGGATTCTGTCTCAGAGAGGGGATCCTTCTTGGGTTGCTCGGTTATAAGTGTCTTCCTTCTTCTGGCACTGTGATCAAACCTCTTGTCTCCCCCTTGTCCTTGCCTCTTGGACATAATAGAATGGGGGCAATTGGCTTTGAAATGACCTGGATGTCTACACTTGTAGCACAGAAGTTCTCCACTGCCATCAGAAGACCATGGTTTCTGGTACGGTCGTCTGCTTGAGGATGGACTTCTTCCATCTCTGGGCTTCATAAATTTCCTGAACTTCCTTGCAAAGGCAGTTATATATTCATCAGATAAAAGAATTGAAGGGTCAAAGTCATTTACATTCGATGTACTTGCAGTGAAAGTGGTAGTTGTCCTCTCTTCTGGTTCATCCTTTTCTTCATTCATCTCGAACTCAAAAGATTTAAGATCTGAGATGAGTTTTTCTGTGCTGTACGTTCAGATACCTTTGCTATCTCTCATGGCTATAACCTTCATCGTCTACGGTGAGGGCAGACCTCTCAAAACTTTCAGATTGACTTCTTTAGAAGGTAGTTCCTTCCCAAGCTCAGAGATCTCAGCCGTGAGGGTGAGCAGACGTGCATACATCTCAGCTATGCACTCGTTTGGTCGAACCTTTAATTCATCAAACTTCTTCATGGCAATGGTTAGCTTATTGTCCTTCTCTTGTTCATCTCCAGCTCCTATGAGAATAACAGTATCCCATATTTGCTTGATGATAGCGCACTTCTTAATTCTGGTGAAGTACCGATCATCAATTTCTTTGTACAGAATATCCTTGGCAATGTTGCATTTCTGTTAACTCTTAAGGCGAGATTTGCTGAACACAAAGTCCAAGCCTTTTAGAGATAATCAATTAGAATCTAAGTGCAAGAATTAAAAGCACTAAGTAAATGACACCAGGATTTTTTGTAGTGGTTTTAGGAACAATTTGTTCCTCTAAGTCACTCTTCCACTGAGCTTGTAAAACTACAGATTACAACACTTAGTCACTAGCACCTAAGAAGCACTCCACGT